TTCCCTCCCTCCCTCCCTCCCTCTCTCTCTCCGTGGGGGGGGCTGCCTCACCGGACTTGGGCGGGTACCGATAGGCCGAGTTGGCCTGGATGTCGATGTCCTCCACGCCGGCGATGCGGCGGCTCAGCAGGGAGCCCATGGCCGGAGCGGGAGCGGCAGCCGGAGGGCGAGAAGGGCCGAAGGGCCGGGAGGGCGACGGGCTTCCTCAGCCTCCCGAGTCGCTCCGTCAGGGGAGCCTGCAGGCCGCTCCCGCGCGGGGCACCACGGGAAAGCGAGTCCTCGCGCCCCGCCCGCCGCCCTTCTCGCCGCAGCTGCCCTCCCGGCCTTGAGACTACGATACCCAGCAGGCGCCGCGCCGCCCCGCCCTCGGCTGGTATAAACAACCATCGGCCTCCGACAAGGCGGATGGGGCGGGGCCTCGCGCTGTCAGTCACGCCGACGCAGGGAGCATAGAAGTACGAAAAAGAAAGAGAGGCAAGCGAGGCTTGGGGGGCCCCTCCGAGTCCCAGCCGCGTGTTGAGAGGCGACACGGGTTCGCCTCCCAGTCAGTCAGTCAGTCACCAGGAAGAGGCAAAGACGCCGCCTTCGGTTCATGGCAGGAAATGTGGAAGAGGCACCCCATGAAGACCCGGCGCCCCCGAGGTGGGCACCTGGGTTCTCCAGGTGTTGAAGAACAGTAGCCCCCTCTCGCTTCTGGTGGGGCCAGCAGGCGATGCTTTTACCCTGGGGGGGTCATTCGGGAACAGGCAGAAAGACCCAGGGAGCCCTTGGGCAGGGAAGAGAGTCCAGGGCCGGCCGGAGTCTCTGCAGGGTGGATTGACTGATTGATTGATTGATGGATTGATGGATTGATTGATTGACATTTCTCTCCCCCCGAACGAGTAGCTCGGCTTCTTCTACTCTGGGCAGCTAACAAAGGACAGCCCGTGAGGCGGGGGGGCACCTGGGAGAGGGAGTGGGGGGGGTCGCATCCTGCCCCCCACCCCCACCCCGGCGCTGGCCCTCGCCATCAGTTTCGCATCCCATCCTTGCAGGAAGGAGGAGATGGAATTCGTTTTTCCTCTTGGCATCCTCATCGCTCTCAGTTGTAATGTCGCCTTTCAAGGATGGCAAAGCGGCCTCTTCACCCGCTTCCTTCAACGTCGTCCTTTCACGCTGCCTGGTCTGCTCGCGGTCTTCGGCTTTAAACATTGCCTTTCAGTGTTGCAAACCGCCTTGGGACCTTTTCAAGGAGAAAGCCGGGGTAAAAAATAGTTTAAATAAGTAAACAAAGCAAGCAAGCAAGCAAGCATCCCTGTCCAAGCGGCCTGAGCGACTGCAGGAGGATGATGGCAGTGCCTTCCGCCAAGCATCCTCCCGGCCCCGCTTCCTCTCTCCGCCTCGCCCCCCCCCCATGGAAGCGGTTGCTCCTGAGCAAAGGGACCCCCCAGGGACGGGGTCCTGCAGCCCCACCCCAAGAGCGCTTCGTCCTCCTCCTTCCCGCGGGGGGGGGGGCTGGCCTGCAGGGCTGCGGCGGCCCCTCCGGGAAAGGCTGGCGCCCCCCCCCCGCGCGCCCG